TTTGCTTAGAACCTCTGCGCATACCGAAGCTGAAACCTCTTAGATGTAGTCCTGTGACTCCTCCCATACAAAGTAAGTCATGGAGGTGTAGCTGACAGCTCCTTCTTTACATATTCCAGGGCACTAAGCAAAAATACCCAGAGGAAAAACGCCATATCTGAATGTAGGTACTTTCTGAAGGGCGCATTAATCTAATCACTGAGTCCTTTTTCAATTCCCCCCTCTCTCTGTTTCTTCTGCAGCAGTTATATGCTGCCCAGCTGGCTGCGATGCAGGTGTCCCCAGGAGGAAAGCTCCCAGGCATACCCCAAGGCAACCTCGGTGCTGCTGTATCTCCTACCAGCATTCACACAGACAAGAGCACAAACAGCCCGCCACCCAAAAGCAAGGTACTCTTTTGAAGAAGCTATGTATTTTACCATGGAGAGTTTTACTTTTCATTCAGTGATATTTATTGAATATCCATTATGTGCCAGCAATGGGGCTAAACTGTGGGTGTTCAAGGAGGTAAGAGTCTAGTAGGATCAGTGAGGTGTGCGCGTAAATTTACATACATACATTTCGCATCATTTATTCCACAGACAGCTATTGTAAGAAATGAGTGCTACAAAGGTTTACAAGATAGTAGACTGTACGCAAGTAGCTTACAGTGTGATAAAATGGATACCCATACTCTATGATTCAAAGTCTTATAAAGACTTACAGATAAGGTGCTTTGGATGGCATTAGGACAGAGAGATGACCTTCAGTGAGAGACCGTGGGAAAGGTTTCCCAAAGAAGGGGCGACTGAAATAGAACTTAAAATAAAAGTACAATTAGGGCTTATAGAAAATGTTTGATTTAAATATCAATCACTTATATAATGTGTCATGGTATAAGTATAATTTTAGATTTACCATTTATCCAATGCAATTATCAGGTAAAGATATGGAGATAATAATAGTGTTAGAAGTAAGACTATTTAGAGCTAGTTTAGTTTTAGGAGCTAAAGAAACATTTCCTGAGAGAACATGAAAAAGGATCAGGGGAAGTTTTAATAATTTGTTTCTTGATTTAGAAGAAGAGGAATGCCAAAAAATTAAATGTTTGTGTTTGTAAAGACCTGACTTATTATATGATATGTGAAGTTATTAAACTTTCTATGGATGAATTAAGAAGAGTAGCTATAAAGTAATTTTCCCTGAGATTACTTAGGGAAGTAATTGCACATATTCTCCACCTATTAGAAAATGTTAAGTAGAAAATGGATACAGTTATATATCCTGAGTGTTTGTGTGTGTATGTGTGTGTGCGTGTGTGTGTGCGTTTTGCTGAACTACCTAGAAAGTGCTTCTGTTCTTCATTCCATGAAAGCCATGCTAAAATGTCTAAAGAGTAACAGTGTAAGAGTAGTCATAGTCACACAGTTGAAAAAAATTAGGAAGTATTGGCAGAGGAAAAAATCCAGAAA